TCTAAATTCGGATTCCGGACAAAAATTACAATTTTGAGATGGATTTGACCAATAAACACAATACTACACATCAGTAATGACTGAATGATGAGTTCAAAATTTAAACAAAATATGATTTTGAGAGGACAAACTTATAAGATGAACAATTTTTCATCACAACTATTTTGATGGGTCGTTATTTGCTGATTGCAAGTTTTGAGTCCGAAAAATAGTTGAGATACTGAAGTTAGCATACAACAAACTGAGACAGACAAAGTAAATATTCGAGATATTTCACATTGGTCATTTCATATTAGGCTAGGAATGAGACGAATAAACTGGAGTTTAAAGCAAGAACGAGATCAAAGTTGGAGACAAGAAGCATCCATATACGGATGTGCTCTTGACTTCAAATCACGCCGATGTTGATAGACGAAGTGGTAACTCGTAAAACATCCATCGCACATATGTACTGGATCTGCTGGCATTTCCTCTCCTTCCACAATCCATCTGAAAAGTCAATTATTTTTTAGACTTCAGTCTATCGAAATTCATCGTATGCGAACCAGAAATAAAAATACACCAATTCTATTCATATCATTTAGTAAATTTATGACATGGTACTTGCAAAGGAACAACCTCTCATATACATCAATCTATCTCGTTAAAGACGTTTGATCTTTATTCGTAGTCAAATAAAAGCCAAAACAATAGATGAACCGGTAAAATAGTCGAACTTACTCGGCAATGTGACGATGACAAATTTTGCAGTTGTGCTCGAAACTCGTATCTGATAGCATTTGTGGAAATGATATTGGATAATCTTGAGCATCCATCAACCGCAAATCAGTAAAGTAAAATACATGTTCACAACTGCCTTGATGAACATAAACATATGGATAGCCGAGCCTGCACACTAGGTCTTGTATCTACAAATTACAAACTACAGCTTTTGCTACAAAAAAAATGGAGAGTTCTTCACTCGTTCTACGTTTACTTTCAATACTAACCTATGACATACGATATCACCAACAACTTTTTGCACAATAATAAATAGCATCACTCTCGTTTCACTGCGAATGAGGTGCACGCATCAAAAGCTTGAAAAGAAAAGAAAAAACAGTAATACCTGTATGCCGGCAAGATCTTTCATCTCCACTGGGCCAAAATTGTCTTTCTTCTTCTCCATCCATTTCCGAATTGGTCTGAAACAACGCAATATTTCATGCAACTAATCATAATCAAAACAAGAAGATATTAAAGGATTATGGAGTAACGATATCGAAACTCAAATAACATAAATTATTCACGATCAGACTGGTCATAAACGCATTGCAGCGAACAACCTAATATTACATGA